TTTATTTGTGGACAGATGGAAGGAGTCGGCAAGGAGTCTTGGGCCCTAGTTTCGTACTTTTTTAGCACACACCAGTCAGTAAGACGTATCTGAAACTTTAGAGGAATCCGTGTCCCCTCTGAGATTAAAATTCACGCCATCCACCGCTGCCTGCAGTCAGAGACGTTACCACTCAGCTATTCGGGCTGGCGATGGACCTCCTACAAGGTTGTATTAGATACTTTGACTGCAAGCTAGATAGTAAATAACTTATGTCATGCGTCTAGTCCATCGTTTGGTGCAGACTGAACTCTATAAGAGTTCAGTTGCAAAACACAAATAGCTCAGTGGTGGCTTCTCTAACTCACTGCACCACTGGGTGGTACGGGATCGAATCTCAGTGGGGAAATGAGTTAATTCAAGGCCGCACATACTGCATTCTGACTAGTGAGTTCCAAAACGCACAGAATCTAGGTACAGATAGGGCTCCTTACCAATTGTCTCCAACCTCCTGATAACAACTACTTAATTACGCTGCTACTCACCACTGTGAGGCGTAGAGCAAGCACACCGTGTCAGTCAAACGACTCAAATAGTTTAGGAATCAAGCGTAGACAGTTGTCTATCTTGTCGAATTGTTGAAACTTGTAGCATCAGACTAGACACAAGGAGCAGGAAATTCATCTCATTATTTTTATTATTTCTTTGTTACTTTATTACCTCTTTGGAGAGCCTTCCACCCCCTGACCCACCATCTATCTATATGAATCGTTACAGCTTTAAACAACATTATGCTAGAGAAAACAACAAACAGGATAGTTATATACACTAATTGTAACAAGGGTCATTGGAATGCCTACTGAATGTAGGTATTAACTTTTTCTAATGATCAGAATAAACATTTTCTCCACTGTTTAAAGTTACATTTTAGTGTGTATTAGAGGCCTTTGATGATAATTCTGATGTCAGTTAGGCAGTCCCGATCAAATGGCTCACAGATTTCAACTTCTTCCAATTTAGGATATATATATATAGCGCAACCACCAGCCAATGTCACGGGCGAGTAACCATCCTCTTGCCTGACTTGATGCACCCCGCTGGTTACGACTTCTCGCTAGAAGTCCAGCTACTTCCTGTATATTATCAGTCGCTAGTGAGCAGTATCAGACTAATCACCAAGTGTTGGTTTGCAGGGATTTGATTGGTTACAGGTCCAGAACTAGAACGAAACCAATTTCCAGTACTCCCAGCTGGTTTTCCAATGGTCATCTAACTTATGTCAGCTCCTGTAACCAATGAAATCCCTGCGAACCAATAGTTAAAGATTCGTTTAGTCTTCAATTCACAAATCAACTCGCAGGGCCTCTCTCACTAACTTCTTGTTATTCTATCCCAAATCTAAAGTAAGCTAGTTAGATACACACACATTTTAGAAAGAAATTTTCTATAACAAACTGTACTTCGAATGTCAGTATTGTTTAGTGATAACGATGTGAGACATTATCCGACGGTATAAATGAAGTCTGTGCAATAACTTTCTGAAAGACCTAGAGCCATCTTATGTGTTTGGATTTATATCGTTTCCGCCTGAAACATTCATTTGGACTACTCATGTTCGTAAATACACGAAAGCGAAACAAACCGTTGAAAGGTGACGCTGAGAGAAGAAAGTTTGCCTGAAATCACAGGGCAGGTTGCGAATGTAACCAGATTAAGTGAACACTTTGGATCTTTGTCAATGACTTCTAGACTATATTAGCCAAATTACATTACGTGAATGAAGCTGTTCATTCCTATGACCATTGTAAAATTGATGATAGTAATATAGAAATCAAGTCTGATGTTAAGTATCTTTGATTAATTCTTTCTTCTGATCTATCCTGGTCTTCCCATGTCTTAGCGATTCCTAAAAAAATATATTTCATCTGACTTTTTACATTAAGAAGTTAAGGTACTCAGGCATAACTCAACCCCTCCTCTTACAGTTTGTCAACTCGTGCATCTTATCCATTCTTCTTTACTGTTCACCCTTATTCTTCCCTGGGTTGCTTCAAAAAAGTCTATATCATACTTCGTAGAACTCTGAAGACTGTCAATAGGGCAAGTGGTATCCTAATAGCCTATATTGTTGACATCGTCATTGATACGCACTTGATTTCATGCAAAACGTTTGCTAAAGGGATTTTGTCAGAGTGTGAGTATCCATCACAGCTTTCACCTTGTGTCTCCTCAGGTCAAAACAAGAAGTCATTTCAAAAGACTTATTACGCACACGTCACGTGTAAGTATACAAATAATCCCACAATAACATATTCGTTGCACGTATTTTATGTGATGAAAATAGTGTCACGGACAAACTAATTAACCTTCTCACCACTAGTAAATAAACAGATTTCTCCATCCTTATACCACTAATCCTTACTGTTGTTTTTGTTTAGTTTCTCATAAGTGTAAACGTGATTTAAGCTCTGTAATAATTGTTATTCTTTTTTTTGTTTTTCCCTTCACCACGCTACTATGTTAGTATAAAATTAGATTCAACGCTCTATAATAGTATGCTGAAAGTTTTCATACTGTATCGACAATATTGTTTAAAACAAACCCACTGTTATAATCATTATCATAGTTATTATTCTCATTTTGTACTTTACACATTTTTGACATTATTCATAGTGTAAATGTAGACAAATTCCTCTGGTTAATGTCATTTATATTTTGGGTATATTAGATACAATATTGTGACAAATACTGAGAATTCCGTTCTGCATTATAAGGGCTGTGTTTGCAATAAAATAGATTATAATTATTTTGTCTAATTTCACATAAATTTGAAGACTTAAATGCGAAAACCAACAGGTTGGGAGGAGAGGAAGGCAGCGAAGACTGAGCCTCAAGTGAATTTGCAGAATAAAAAAGAGGGTGATAAAGACGACTAGCCAATTCAAACAAGAAGTACTAATCACTATCAACAAAAGAAATCTGAGAGGGGGATCATTTCCTTCACTTATCCAGGCAGCATCATTTCAACTACAACCCCATGGGATGGATGACAACGTCAAAACCAGAGTCGGAAAGGCAACATACACACACAGTTCCATCACTCTGAAATTAGTCTGGAAATCTTCTCCACTCAGCATAAACAATAAAATTCGGTATAGAAACTTGGCGCGCGTGTCACGGAAAGCATTTCCAATAGGCCAATGCAGACTTTTATCAATAGCTGACCTCTTCACTGGCCTAATACTTAAGATCAGATGGTCGGTGGAAAAAAATTAGAAACAGGAAACTCTGGAAATGAACCAATCAAGAACCATTTGCTCAATAAATATTTGGAAAAAAATGGAGACAGGTGGGAGACACGCCGAGGGGATTATTAAGTGACATCACAGTCCAGGAGGACCAGTGCTTAGAGAACATGACGAGATGCAGATGTCCTCTTGAAGACCAATATTCTACCCGGGACTCAAGGGCATAATGACAATAAAAGTAATAATAATCTAAGATAAATCTTAGAAAAGTTTATTGCAAAGCCTGGCTAGTTTCTATGTTAATGTCTTTATTAGATCTATGACACAGTGAGATAGCATTATTTACTGGATGACATTTCGAGCATAATTTATTTATTGTTCATAACCAAATCATCGATTGTCACTAAACAACTTGGAAACTTGAGCTTTATAGTTTTCTTTATTCCTTGCCACTCGTCTATGAGGTTAGTAGGATTTTCCAGATGTCCGAGTGGATAACTGTGTTGAATAATTTTTATTCCTGTAAGTATTTTCAGCTGATTCGATGAATAAAGCTTCCGCTATCAATCTCTCGCATCCCACTTCCACTCTGTTACATTAGATTTTAAAACTGTCATCTTACCCCATCATCCTATATTGCAGGGTTGTGTGTAAGTGCATGTAGTGAGTCCCATAGCTGAGCTATTTATTCTCCAGATTTCTTATCTTATTCAGGTCAACTAATCTAGATTTTGCTGCTAGGCTTTTCTGCTCCGTTAGTCTCTCTGAATGATCCCGTTCTACTACTTTGACCTATGTATTTGACCTGACAATCATTGCAGCGTATTAGATAGACTAAATTGTTTTGTTTGATTGACCCCACAGAATTGATCCTTTAACCGACAAAGCTTGTTCCTAATAGAGTTTGTGGGTTTGAATGCTAGTCACTGTTATTCCTGCCTTGTTAAGAATTCTGAGTAAGGTTTCCTAGGCTCCTTCTTTGTATGGAAGTACTACTGAAGATTTAGATTCCCTATTGTTGGTGTCGTTATTATCCTGCGCATGTTTTACATGCATGTCGTCATTAATATTATTATGATTATTATCACTCACACTACTATCTTATTATTTATTTTATTTTTACATTTCCCTACATACTTCCTGATTAATTTATCAGGGTAATTATTAATTAAGTTTCAAAGCTTCTCTTGTATGTCTCACTTCCTGTCTTAGATTTTCCTTCTTACTACTTAGTTTTTGTGCCCTATTGTCACTTTGTCACATTTCATCAATCCCATTTTCACTGAAATAGGATGGGATGATTGGAAATCCGAAATATCTGTTTGAATGTGTGGGTTTCCTGTAAACACTAGTGTTTAACTTCGCATCTTCTTTCCTTTTTACGCTATAATCTAAAATAATAAGCTCCCCTTCCTGACTTTCCAATTCACAAGTGAATTGCATTGCCTCTACCTTCGAGTTTATGTGTTCAAAGAAACCTATTTATGTTCTGTGTTCTAAGTTCAGTGAATGTGTCATCTATATACTTCCACCATACTTTCTAAGTGGGGTTGAACTTTTCAGTTGCTAAGTTTCTCCACCTATTCATGAATATATCTACCACAACCGGGATATTAGCCACCCCATATGGAAATTGAGGTGGTCAGAAACGAATTACATAGTTTTACAGTGCCCAAGTTATATATATATATATATATATATATTAATATGACTGGCTACTTTATTTGGAGAGTGTTTACAGAAGGATAGTGAAAGCATAATATGAAGACTCACCACAAAGTAGGATTTATTTCTGCTTACTGACCATTGATCATCGTATATCTGTTCATCAGTTAAGATTTGCTTCACAGACTACAAATGGATCGAAACAAAACAAAAAAGGGAATAAAACAGAAAATCGATAAAAAATTTGTAATGCATCAAAGTAATTACTTTACAAGATGAGTAGATAAACATTCCCAGTATTGAATATACCCCATTTATGGGTCCGATTTCAGTCACAATTCCATCTTGGCATAGACTATCTGTAGGTGCATTAATCATGATCATAATCGTCAGTGACCTGTTACAGGAAAACGTTACCTGGCCTTCTGGTGAGAAGTAGTAATCAGTGGGGTTTATGATGTCAGGCGTGAAGGTAAATACTACTAATGGATGAAACTGACTACTAATCGCACCAAAGGAATCAGAATTCATGAACCATTTTGTCGGGTTCCACTGGCTGAAATGGTTTACTAGCTCGCCTTGTAACCGGATGGCGGTGGCTTCGACCCCTGTTGTGTGAGTACTACCGTTGAGTGCGATATCCGACTATCGACCAAAGGGCGTGTGTACTGCTCAACAGTCCGCTCCGTCCTCCTTTATGGCTGTGAGACCTGGCCATTGAGAGCAGAAGACATGAAAAGATTAACTGTCTTCGATCATAGGTGTCTGCGTTCTATCTCCCGTGTGAAGTGGTATGATGAGGTGAGCAATATTGAGGTTAAGCGTTGAGTACTAGGTAAGGAGAAGGGGAAATCAGTCGACGAGACTGTGAAATTACATCGACTGAGATGGTTGGGACATGTGTTACATATGCCTAGTCATCACCTTCCTCAACGGGCAATGTTAGCTGATATATGGTCAGACTGGAAAAAAACTAGCGGCGGTCAAACCAAAACATGGCACCAGTCAATGAAATCCACAACAGTTAGTCTAAGCCACGTAGGAAGATGTATACTTCCTGGTTGGGGTCGTCGGGACGGTAAAAACCAATGGTTGGAAACAATTGATGACATGGTTCAAAATCGTTGTCAGTGGCGCAGATGCATCCACTCCTTGTGACTTATGATTTCCAATGAAATGTTCTTTGTTATTACTATTCCTTTGTCTCACACCTCAACTTTCTGTCTATATTATGCATTTCTCCTACTTTCTTCTCTTCCTTTGTGTGCTACATGGAATGTGGCGACTTGAACTGCCACACGTATGTGCAAAGTTCTATGTCGAGTACCAGACTAGAGCGACAAAGTTGTCCAGTACTCCCCTGTCTTCCAGTAATCCACTAACTGAGCGCAACTGGTGATCAGACTTGAAAACTGAAATTCAAAACTTTACAAAATTTGTAAGTGTTCGAAGAATGGTTCCTAGCCATGTGAGACGTCCGGGTTCGATTTTCAGCTTACGTATTCCTTAATATCTCCTGACCTGTAGTAAGCCCGAAAAAGGGGCATGGGAGATTAGGCATCAGACTAGCAGTTTTTTATTTACACTAAGGGGAGCAAATTTTCACATCGATCTGTATTTTCACAAAGATCTGTGTTCCCTTTACAGTTTTATTTTTAACATTGTCATCCGTGACATGGGCCTGTAGTTGAAGCGCTAGTTTACGAACTCTATTAAGCGGCACAATTGATTTCGTTATTTATTCATTTATTCATTCATCTGTCAATAGACGCCTCAATGGGAAGAGTGTTATCAGTGACGCAGTTGAACCATCTTCCACTGTAGATTTCATCACCAAGTAACACTTAGATTTATTTATGGAGCAACAGATGACTATTCTGTCGTAGTTTGGAATTCTCCAGCAATATGTATCAACGAAAATACCATGAAATGGAACCCAACACCTTCAGGTTACGAAGTGCAGCTCTTTGACATATTGTTTGATACTTAAAATAAACTTATGTAATATTGAAGCCCTCTGACTATATAGCCACCTGATCAGAACGTAGTGTATCCCCAACTTGTTTCAATTTGTGGTGTAGCACGACCGTCTTAGGATAGACCACAATAGGTATGACTTTTCAACAGTGATTCAGGAGTTCAATATTTATATTTTTGGGTTTGTGAGGACTTTATTATTACTATTATTATTTTTGCAGGCGAAGTATACATTGAAGTTATTCACAAATCCCTAGAGACCCCGTAGACTTAGTTGTGACTTCACTTAAATTTGTATGCATACAGTTGATGATCCTATAAAATACTGATGATTTTATGTGCATATAATCGATTTTCAATAAAAGTTAATACCAAAGGTTGAAAAAATATCGTGTAATAAAAATTACAAATAATGTTTGTGGACAAAGATATAAAAACTCGAATTTAATAAAATACCTACCAGTGAATGATTTCGGACACTGGATTGATTGACATGTGTTGAAATAATAAGCTCAAATTTTCCTATCTATCTATCTATCTATCTATCTATCTATCTATCATCATCAATCATCAGAGGCCTTACGCAGGATTCTCAATGAGGTTGTAATTAGTCGGGGCGACATTTAAAACTAACAACCAACCAAGTCACTAACAGATAAACGTTCTTGGATTAAGGTCTTAATAGATCCAATGAAGAATATCTATAATATAATTTACCAAATACGATGTAATGATGACTGTGAGAGAGGTCAATTACATAGATAACTAAAACTAATACTTCAGGGTCAACTAGATTATTGGAAAATGAAAATCTAGCTAGACCTTGTAGGAATGACTCTGCTTAGTAAGTTAAATAGCCTAGAAGAAACAAAGCTCAGGTATTACACTCAGTTTACTTCCATGTAATCACATATACTGTAGGGTGGGTGGAACAGGGTGAGAGTATTGAAAGGTGATATAGTTAGTTAGGTGGAGCGAGAGAGAGATAAAGGTTAAGCACTGAAGCTATGTTTGTCGATTCAACACCACACTCGTGCATTTGGAATGACGCAACACCTATATACCAGAGATATGGAAAGTGACAACAAACAACAAAGGGAAGTTGGAGAGACAGAAAGAGAGAAAATGTATTTAAGACGAAATGTGAAAACGTGTGATCAAATTGCTATGACAATGGGCAATAATTTATGCTGGAAATCTTGTCTATCATGCAGTTGTTATTACGGCAACATCACTGTGTATGACATTTAAAATAAACTTATCTAATATGGAATTACATTCTACCACAAAGCCCAAGTTTTACTCTTACATTAGAGATAATTCTGAACCTGAAAGAGAAACTTTAGCAGAAGCTATGACAATACACCATGAAATATAAAGACATTCACTAAAAACACTGCTTAATCATAAAACATTTACTACATTTCCGAACCTATCAAGGTGTCATTTAATAAAATGTCATCGTACAGGTACTGTGAATTAAAATCCCTGAAAAAGATATCACTGCTGAAATTCAGGATTCCGCTTTCAATAGATTTAAGAGTGCATAGGAGCCATCTCTATGACATTATCAAAAACAAAAGTTCATCGAAAAATATTATATATTGACCTAGCTGTGTAAGATAACTTTCACTAATTTCATTAGCTTTACTGTCTGACATAAGTGAAGTGGACCATTCCACAGAGTAACTGATGAAGAACTCTTGCACTTGCATACTTAATAAACGAATGTAAAGCTTCAGTATTATTTAAGTGACTGAAAAGAAAAGAAAATTTGTTATCCTGAGAGTTTTTTAATTTCGTCAATTAACTGTAGAATTTTCAGAAGTAGGCAAACTTTAGCATTGAATTTCAATAAGTAACAAGATACAAGATATTCTGAAACAATACCACTGGTATATGTTTTCAAGTATTGGTTTGTAGGGATTTGATCGATTGGTTACAGGATTTCATCATGACCTGACATCAGTTAGAAAATCATAGGAAAACCAACTGAGATTACTGGACAACCATTTCTTCAGCCTATTTTGGGACTGGTTCTTTAGCAGTACGCAACTACCCCACTCAGGTTCGAACCCTGGACCTTCCAATTACAAGGCGAGCTAGCTCGTAGACCATTAAGCAGCCACTGGGACCCGATCCAGCCAGACCATGAATTCTAAATTCTGCCAATTCAAGCACTTCTCAATGTTTTATTCGATGAGTTACCGCCTCAACTCCAGCCTGTTGTATCCTACTGGTCACGGCCTCCCACTACAGCCCCAGGTTAACTTCCTGAATAGAGCAAGTTCCTAGTAAGCACCGGATCTATTTTCAAGTATTGGTTTGTAGGGATTTGATTGATTGGTTACAGGATTTCATCATGAGCTGGAACATGATCCAAAATCGTCCACGAACTCCTACTCCTACCAAGTCTTAGTGGTTGGTCGGACAGGAATTGTTTTTGTTTCGTACCACACACTAACTTCCAGTTTATAACATACATACATAAAATGTGTGCTAAATAAGGTGTGGTAGAGTATTTTTACTTGGTCATCTGAGCATAAAGTCTTTTATAGTTGCTTCTAGTTCTACCTGATGAGATGCATGTAAGCAGAGAGTTGTGTATCGAGAGAATTCTCAGAGTCTGCCAATATAATATTCGCCAATTTCTTGCAGTAGTCCAAGTATCTATCTACAACAGTACAAACAAGTTCGTTTAGTGGTGTCTCCCTTGCCCTACTGACGGCTTTCAGTGCCCTTCGCAGAGTAATAAAGAAAGTCTTTCATCAGAAGCCCAGGAAAGATGAATTTGTGGGGGAGCAGTAAAGCGCAATAGATAGAATACATGAATTATCAAACTATAAAAGTACTAACTGTGGAATGTCTGTATGTCTTAACTTCCTCCATTGAAAGTTAAACAAAATATCTTTCTAGATGTGGGAAAACCCGCTGAGATCAGAAGAAATACACAATCCAAGTTATCTAACATTCGGCTTAGTTTCAACTTCGGTGACATTAATGTATAATAGTAGAACCATGTGAACAAACCAGTTCATGTAAGTCGTACTAATTAACAACCTAACATTTAAACGAATTTAGCTCAAGACCATTTGACAAGGAGCAATGACCAATTTCTGATAGAAGGTTGTTCGTTTTAAAAAGTAACCGACGTCGAAAAAATCAGATAATCGTGAGAGTTAACAAAATTGACTTCATAAAAATGTCGC